ATTATGCTACTCATGCAAAATTTGTCATAGTATTTTCTTTGTCCTCAACCAATTTGTCTATTTTAGTAAAATTTTTTAAGTGAATGCCATCAATTTGCAAAAAAAAAAAAAAAAAAAAAAATTTCATTCTTTTCGGAAATGGCTTAGTCAAAAGAAAAAGGAAATAACAAATCGAAATTAAAAAAAAAAAAAGTAAACAAAAAACAGAAAATTTGTATAATATCAATATTTCGAACTCTTTTGATTACATTATTCCTAATCAATTAATCAATCAATAGTGCTATCTTTTAACATTGTTTCACTAAACTTTTGATTTTTCCATAAAAATAGAAAAAAAGAAAATTTTCAGCATTGAAATAATTTTGTTTTTAAATTTTCTTTTTTCCCCATTTTTCTTTCCTTAAACAGCAAAAGCAAGTGATTAAAAAAAAAAAATGGCATCATTCTTAAGCGTTTAGCTTTAAGTTTCTGAAAAAAAAAAGTGACCTTTTTTTTTGTGACAACGAAAATTTATTGATAACTTTAACTACTGTGGTTTCGTTGCTAGGGATTGCAATAAATGATGCTTTTACAAGCAAGCAATTTATGGTTGGAAGTTGAAATGTTTACAACTTTTTAAATTTTGTTAAAAATTTCTTGTCTTCTTTCCTTCGATTTTTTTTTTTCACTTAATGTTTTACCAAAATTACATGTTTTTTTTTTGATCGTAAATAATATCATAATTTCGTATTCAAATTTTTGAAAATTTTTAATTTTCCCTTAATTATCAATATTCTTTTATCATCAAATTGAAAGTATTTTATTGAAAATAAACACAAATTTTGTCATTTCGTTTCGCCTTTTTTTTTCTATCAAAATTAAATTTATTATTTTGAAATAAATAAATGAATTACTTTTTGCTTTTTTTTTGATTTTGCTACCTTTGCATTATATAAATTATGCATAATTTGCATTGTGTTTTTTGTCATTTAAAATATTTATAAAATATATAAATATATAAATTAGGAAAGAAAAAAACAGCGTGATCTTTGGTCTATCTTTTTTTTTAAAAAAAAAGAAAAAACATTTATCATTGTTTAATTAGCAAGGTATTTGAATTAAAATTAAAATAAATTCTATAAAAATTGAGGAAATTTAGTTAGAAAATATTAATGTATTATTTGTTGAATTCATCAAAAAAAAATTTACTTCTATATTCTTGATAATTCTCAAAGTATTTATTCATATAATTAGCCCATTTATTTGAATATAATTTAATATTTCATAAATGTCATAATAAGATTATCCAATGCGAATATGCAAATTACAATTTGCTTAATACATATTCATCTCATCTTTCGCCTATAACATTTGCTCCATGACTCATATTTCATTACTATTTTTACTTGTATTTAAGTTAATGAATAAGCCAATGACTCATATTTCATTACTATTTCTGCTTACATTTATGTTAATTAGTAAACTACTATTGCTAGTTTGTATACTAATTACTAAGGCATTTTCTGCAACGACTACAACACTCATATCATTGATTTTGGTTTAAATTTCATGAAATCTCCTTTGAATTCTAACCTTTGAAACTCTTGATCTTTGAACTTTTGAATTTTGAATTTCTAAAAAAATATTTGCCCTATTTTTCAAATTTATCCATCATATATAATTTATTAAATATGTTGATCAAAAAAATTCCGATTAATTTCATTGCAAATTTTAATCAAAAGTGCAAAAATGATTGCAATGATGATTTAAATATCTTTCCTTTTTCAATTACATTAATCATAAATACTTCCTGAAAAGTAAATTAGAGTTAAATAATTGTTACAGAATGTTAGAATATATTTAGGGGGGGAAAAAATTGTAATTAGTATGCTATACAATCATATTAATTATATTTTGAAGTAGTTTTAAAATTTTAAACTTTTCCATTTTCCACTAAAACCTCTTGTAATTGAACATTAAGACTTAATTTTTTGTAATTGAACATTAAGACTTAATTTTTTTGTAATTGAATATTGAGACTTAATTTTTTGTAATTGAACATTAAGACTTAATTTTTTGTAATTGAACATTAATACCTAATTTTATTTCATCAAATTACGGTTGAAGATTAAAAATTAATTTTAATTTATGAAATAGTTCCATAAAATTTAACCAAATGAGATTTGCAATTGATTATTAACGATTCATTGTTTTATTAAGCAATTGATAGATTTTATAAAATGAATTTGATAAGAAAATTTTGTTTCTTTTTACAGTTCTGATTTTGAAATTAGCATATTAGTTTATTCAATTCCGGTTAGATGTCTTTTCAAAAATTTTATTAGTAAATTTTTATTAAACTAAAAATTTACTTCCAGATGATATCAATTTTCAATGATATCATGTTAGATGGAATAAATGTGCTAATCATTTAAATTATGAATAATCATAAAACAAATATAAAGCAATTAAGTTACGATTAATGCAAAATAACTTTCTCATATCATATATTTATAAGTTAACAAGTTATAATTTGTTAAAGAGAAGTAGGAGAGAGAGTGAAAAGAAATCTGCATAACGTTCATTTTGCCTTTTACTAATTGTTTTCTTTTTTCACATGCTTTCATTATTGAATTTTTATTTTGTTTTTTTTTCTTGACCTTTAATCTTATCTTATTACTGGTAATTCACATTTAATCATTTCATCAAAATAAGTTTTAATTATATAAGCCATAAACAAATCTTTCATCTTTCACCTTTTCAATTAGATAAAAAAAAGAAATGACTCGAAACCTCCCAAAATTTCTCTTTTTTTGAAGAAAAAAAAATGAATCGAAACAACCTTTTAAAAGTTCTCTTTTCCCTTTTAAATCTTTAATGAAATACTGCAATTCTCGTTTACTATCGAATAATACATTACATTTCATTTTATTCCTTATATGCATGTTTTGCATGAAACGCATATATTTTATATTCGTCACACATATTTATTTTGAGCAAATTCGTATATATTTCACATATTTATGTTTTGTAATTTTGCACGAAACACGTAAATCATTTTTTACAAATGTTACCAAAGCCTTACGTTTTGTTTTAATTAGTCAATGATGTTATTACTAATCAAACATTAATTGATTATTAGAATAAAAACGATTCGAACTAAAATATCCAGTTGATTATCTGAATTAATAAAAGTTTAAAAGAATAATAAAAAAAGAAATGAAAATGTTGCATGGTATCAACTGCTGTTTTCAATCAAAATACTATTAAAAATATAATGTAATGGGATAATTTTATAATATAATATAATATAATTATAATATAATATAATATAATTATAATGTAATATAATATAATATAATATATAATATAATACAGCATAATATAATACAATATAATATAATATAATATAATATAATAT